ACATTATATAAACAACATATATATATAATTATATTATTTTATATTATATAAATATTATATTTTAATTCGCTTACATTTTGAATAACAGGTTGAATAACAGGCGGAGATATGAGAAAAGGAGATGCATACAACTACTATATTGAACAATACAAGATAAATATGATATATAAATATATTATATATATATTATTATACATATTATATATATTATATTATATATATAGCTTACATTTTGAATAACAGGTTGAATAACAGGAGGGGGTTTAAGAAAAGGTACTTGATGAGGAACAGCAACAAACTTGTCGACAAACTTCGGCAGCAAAACTTCGCGATATATCTCCACCGGCACTTCCCGCGGCACTTTCACTACGCGAACCTTCTCCTTTAGTACAGGTCTACACATAGTCACAAGGTGTATATATATATATATATGTATGTATATATACACCTTCTGCTTTAGTACAGGTCTAAACATATTCACAAACAGCTATTCATACATATATATATATATATATATGTATATATGTATATATGTATAGAGATGTATATATATATGTATATAGATGCATATATATATATATATACGTATATATATATCTATATATATATACAGAGAGAGAGAGATAGATGTATATATAAGCATATATATAATATATATAGTTGTATATATATGTATATATTTATTTATATATTCAAACTCTTTCTGCTGCAGATGCTGATGCTGCTGATTCAGCAGTATTTTCCTGTAAATATTACTGCGTTTTATTTTGTTTTATTTAAAAAAATTTTATTACATTACGTTATTTTATATTTATTCTATTATATTTATTGTATTGCGTTTACACACCAACATTATTATTATTATTATTTATTATTTATTATTATTATTATTTATTTATTTATTATTATTAATATTATTTATTTATTGTTTATTATTATAACATATTAATAGGATGATAATGTGTTATTAGTACAATTATTGAGGTGTACGTACACCGGAACTTCTACGATTTTTTCGTAGATTTTTTCTTTTTCAACAGGAATAACTTTTCCTTTTACTGGGTAATACTGCGGAACGTCGATATACACCGGGACTTCAACAGGCAATTCAACAGGGGGTAATGAAGAGGGGACAGGTATAGGGTTTTCAACAACAAACTCCTGAAGAAGCAATAGAAACAAAAGCAAATAAATACGCAAACTAATCATATAATATAATAGAATGAAATATATATATATATATATGTATCGTCAATCAAAATTATATTGTTGTTAAACAACAGTAAAAAATAGATCATTCAAATACATAATATTCAATTAACAACACAAACAAAGATATAAATCTTCAATAAATATATATTAAGCCTGGGGGAGTCTTCTTTCGGAGTCTTTAACTGCTAGAGATGTTTATCGGTTCTTTTGAATAATCTTTTCAATAGCTAGATATATAGCTAGTAGTTAGGTACTGGTGGGTAGATAGGAGCACATATATATACTACATAAATACATAAATAAATAAATATATATATAATATATAATGCAACATAAATATCTAATATATATACAATCTATATATGTATATATAATATAATATATATATATATAATCTATATATATGTATATATAATATATAATCTATATATGTATATATAATATATAATCTATATATGTATATATAATATAATATATATATATATTATATATATATATATATTATACCTGTATTTCAGGCTCGGGGACGACTTTTTCGATGAGTTCAACGACGGGTTTGGTGACGACAGTTTCTTGAGGAATGTTCAGCAACTCTACAGCCCCAGGGATTGCATGCATGCGTTCGACAATTTTATAATTTATCTTCGGCACGCGACGCACTCTTTCTACAGGGATGTCCACCACTTCTATCTTCTCCTAAATGCATATAATAACACACAAAGCACACAAAATATTTAAATATATCTTTATATATTATATATATATTTATTTATTTCCATATATTTATATATTTATATATTTATATATTTATATATCTATATATCCATGTATATATTTTCATGTATATATATTTACATATATATATATATATACATTTATAAATCTATATATATATAGATTTATTTATTTATTTATTTATTTATTTATTTATTTATTTGTTGATTGATTTGTAAATAATCAGCAAAACATACTTTATATTTGATAACTTCTTGAATTTGAGGGACTTCAACAATTTTTTCTACGATTTGTACGTGAGGGACTTCGACGAATTTTTGAATTTTTTGAATATTAAATTTTGGGATGTGGCGGACAACTTCTTGAATTTCTACGCGAGGGACGAAGCGAACAACTTCTTTGATCTGAGGCACTTCGACAATCTTGTTTATTACCTGTAGCATAATTAATTAATTAATTAAACACAATTAAACACAAGGTTATTTTTTAAAAAAAGTTTTCTGCTTAACTTCACATGTCATATTACTTATATATACTCATATTTACTTTTATCCTGGTGGAAACATTCAGGCAATTCAATCAATTTGTTCGTTAATATAAACAACAGAAATATATATATATATATATGTATATATATATATATTCATACATACAAATATGTATACATAAATATATATATATATATATCATCAGAGGCAAGAAGATTCATTATTAGTATTACTATTTAAAGCACTTCAACAAATCTTTTCATTATATTCAGCAGCAACAAAAGAGTAAAATAGAATAGTTTGTAATAGTAGTAATACAATTAATAATAATTGTATCTCCTTAACAAACTTCTTGATAATATTTCGCAACAAAACTCGATAAAAGGCATTTCAATACTTCTAATTGAAGAACTTGAACAGAAGAATTTAGGGTTTTTCATTAGGGTTTGCTGCTAAGGGCCTAGGGTTTAGGGTTTAGGGTTTAGGGTTTGAGGGTTACTTTGATTTGGGGGACTTCGACGATTTTTTCGACCCACTGGACTTCAACTTTGGGCACCTTTTTGATGACGTCTTGAACTGTAATTTTCGGGACAAGTTTCTCTATGACATGCACCTCAGGCACTTCAATAATGCGGTTTCTTCGAATTGTTTGATTTATCATCGGCACATATATCACTTCATCTCCTCCGCCTGTTACACCATTAAAAGCAGAAAAATATTATGTACCAAGCTATTTAGTTGCACACAACTCAAATTATAACTAATGCAGCAACAGCAGCAGCAGCAGCAGCAAAAACAAGAGCAGCAGCAGCAGCGCAGCTGCAAGAGCAACGACAACAGCAGCAGCAGCAGTAATAACAACGGCAACAGCAGCAAAGATGAGTGTAGCAACAAGGAAAGCAGCAGCATCAGCAAGAACAACAGCAAGAAGAAAAGCAACAGCGGCAGCAGCAGCACCACCAGCAGCAGCAACAGCAGCAGCGGGGAAGCAAGAACAACAGCAACAGCAGCAGCAGCAAGAACAACATAAACAACAACAACAACAGCAGCAGCAGTCTCACCAGTATTAACTCCAGGAGGAGGGCAGCGCAAAGTGTTGACTGTCGCATTGTCTTGAGGAGGGTTTGGGGTATATCCGTCCATTTCCTAGAAAGCAGCTTAGCTGCCTGTATATAGAGAGGATGTACTAATCAAATAAAATTGATATGTTGAATATATAGTATTAAACATATAATATGTATATATATATTTGTATATACAGTGTATACGGTAGAGAGGAATATATCTCTACAATATATGAGGGATATAAACCCAGAAAAACAACTGTACTAAACACTGAGTCGCCTCGGCGTTATCTGCTGTTTAACTGTCTTTCAGAAAGTGAAAGAAATTGACGGTTGTATATATTTGAATTTTGCGGGTTTGTTTAGAGGCTAGTCTGCTCTGTACTTGTAGAAGAAACAACAAAGGGTTCTTTCTAATGCCTTGTTTGGGACACCGATCCTTCAAATTCCTCGAACAGGGGGCTCGTCCGAGGGAAAACAAAGATGAACAGAAAAGAAGAAGATTGCAGACAAAACAAAAATAATTGCAAGAGGGTTATAAAGGCAAAGGAACGGTTCTAAGCGCTTCCGCGATCCTCGCCTGTGAGGAGGCGTTTCAATGAATGCGTCAACGGCATTTGTTTCAGATGACAAAGAAAAATGAATTATAAGAAAGTTGAAAAGAAAAGGGAAAACAATACTTCTTGAAAACAACAAAACAGAATCAGCGTGTGCGCAGCAATGGTACGGACCGCCAGGCCCACAGGTGTAGACTGGCAGCAGCTGCAACTTATGATGAAACAAAGAAACAATAAAATTCAAATTTATTCATGCTTTTCTAATTATAAAGGTATTTCTTATGAATGAAAGTCGGTGCTTTCCTTGCAATTCAAACAGTGCAGGTTCTCAGGTGTACGAACAGCGATCTTTTGGGTTGACCACGATGGCATGCAACCTTGTTGAAAAATACACCGAAAGCTGTGCTAAACTTAATTCAAAGTTGAATAATTCCATTTATTTGAAATTATTCTCGAAATAATGAAGGGCATGAAGCTCCTACGCCGCATTTTATGTGCAGTTTCTCTCTTCTTCTTCATGCTGGGCCAGTGGAAAGAAGCCGCAGTTGACGGTGTTCCACTGAAAACAAGCTGTCGTTGCTGCGGTTGTCACCGCAGCTTGAGCTCTGCAGCAGCAGCACGAAAGCAGAGTGCTGCGAAACGGGCAGCAGCGATAGCTGAAGGTAAGAAGAAGCACAACTGCGTATTTGTACAACCCAAGTTTCTGTCTCTACACATTGCAATTCTCCAGCAAGAGCAGAGGGAAAACTTGCAGGTGCAAAGGATGCAGAGGCATTCACAAAACCCCTTCCCCAAACACCAGAAGAAAGGACGCCGCGTACACCGGTAAAAATATGAAAATTGAATTTCTTTTTCTTCCGCATCGGTGCTGCGTGCATGCATGCGCTGTATACATCATGCAAATATGCGTACAGTCGCACGTGCCAAATTCGGGGGAAGCGAAGATAATGGATGCGTAGGTTAAAAAAGCGAAGAACAAGAATTCAGAAAGAAAAGAATGCAATAAAACATGCATGCAGGCATCTACCTCCTGAAGAGCGTCTGAGCCACAGTAATTCGCCTTTTGTTTCTCATTAAAATTACCTCAACGAAATTATACAATAAACAAACGATGCAATTCAACAAACAGGAAAAACCGAAGAAGTCCAAGAAGCCGAGGACATTGTCCACAGCTTAGAACGAACAGCTGCGGTAGGAGAATTGAATTTAAAAAGTTTAAGTGCATTTTCACAAACATAAATACAAAAAATCAGTCAAGAGGCTCGCTAAGAGGAAGTGAGGAGACAACAGAAGAAGAATAAGGAAAATAAATCAATATCAAATATTTCGAAACCATCCGACGCCACAACAACAAACACAATAATATACCCACGACCCCGAACAAATCAACAGTATAGACATATAGATATGTATATTGAACAGATAGACATCTGTTCAAAGTCTAGACAAAAACATTTGCGAAAAAAACACCGAGTAGTGATTTTTTCTTGAGTTGGTGAAAAAAAGCAGAAAAACAACAAAAGAACAAAAGAATATTTAAACTTGGGTCGATGAATGACCGTTTCCGTTTCCTCTCTTTGCTACGCATATCCTTTTTTATTTAAAATAAAATGCATGCCACATGCTCTGTAAAGACTAACTTATGCGGGAGCTACGACAATTTCATATTTTTTTCTCGGAATCAACGAAGAAATTTGCACCTTTCTTGCTTAATATGGTGTCTTAAAGAAGCAGAGCACAAAAAGGAAGCAATTACGGCACTATTTCCTTTTTCTGAATGTAATCGCTAATATTGAACTCAGGTGTACATACACCCGAATTGATTGGTATTGCATTCGCAAAAGGCGGGTATTTTATTTGAAGTGAAGAGAAGAACAGAGAGAAGAAGATGAGATTTCGAGCGGTATTAATTGCAATAAGTAATATTTTTCCAGTTTGTTCATTGATTGTTCGCAATCATTTGAAGTGAGATTTATTTTTTTCTACTTTTCTACTTCGTGACTTGCAAACGGAAATGCAGAATCGACACGATGGGAAACTTTGGGCATTTCATCCCTCGATGCGACTCTCTGGTGGTACGTCGGCTATTTAATTGATTATTAGTAGATTAAAACAAAAGAAAACAAAACAAAACAAAACAAATTAAGCCGGAGTCCAGCACTTCTTCTACAACGTGTTGGTCTTCTTGCGGTGTTATGCCTGGGGAAGCGCGGTGCAGTGGGCAAGGTGAAAGTGAGTATATAATGCGTTTCCCCTTCTTTTCCTAATTTAGCTTGTTAAATTTAAATGATGCACATTTGAAATTCATCGGAAATGCATCTTTACGTCGTCAGACTGGCAGCGTTCTTTCATCTTAAGAGCCAGGCCACTGAAAGAAACAGCAAAAGGAGCTCAAGGTATCTGCAGCTGCATGTTATACACCGAACATATTCAAGAAAACTTCACCTAAACTGCCCTCTAGGCTGCTCTCAACTGGAGAGGCGTTTCCTTTGCTCTTTGTTGAGTTCTAAGAACAAAGAGTGTTCCCCTGAATTGGCTAAAAAGGTAATGCATTATAAAATGAAGTCTGTTCAATTCAAAGATATGCAATAAGAAGAAACGCTGAACTGTACATACAGCTGAAACCAGGAGAACAGTGCTACACAAAGTGTGGAGAGCCGCAATGCCCAGAGGGAGATTTTCAAGAGCCAGATGCAGCTGAAGACTTCAAGGCAAGTTGAACAGGAAGCAAGAACTCTACTTTTTAATTTTTCATGCATTTTATCTCCTTTATGATATACCCTTTCTCCTATACTGCATGCATACACACTCTACAGTATATGGACTGCGAAGGAGGTGCTTACCGCATGCGCTGTGCAATAATTCAACACGCAAAGGCAATTGAATTTAACCCGGCGGCTGTCCCTATGGTGGTGCCTGTGGAGTAGAAGGCCCCTAATATTTTGTATTATTTCTTCTGTTTCTTCTCGCAGCTTTCCTTTTGCCTCCTTCTACTTCTGCTCGCTCTGTCTACTGCTCTCTTCTAAAGCAAACAAGGTCTAACATGCGCTGCTGATTTACCTTCTAGCTGTCTATTATAACCTGGGGTGTATGTACACCCCGTAAAGAATGAACAGCAGTTTTTGCAGAGGGCATTTCGCCTCTCAGCAGCGAAGCAAAACCCTAAAAGGCGTCACTGCAGCCCTACATATAGAGCTGGCTCTCTGGTGTATGTACACTTCAAGGTGTACGTACACTCCAAGACAGCCGGATGTACGCACACGTGCATGCACTGCATTTATTCGTAGATATTATTCAGCAGCCCCAGCACCACCGCTTTGCATATAAACGCATGTAAATACAATCAGGAGGCATAGACAGCCCCAAAGAAAGACATGTATCTCCCTCCATTGCATACAGAAAAAGACAGAGAGAGTACTATATTAATATTATATATTATACATAAACACTGAACCCCTGCCGAGTCTTGAAGACGAGTGAAAGCACAGCGTGAAGAGGAGTAAAAATAAATGAAGAGAGAACGAAGAAGTGCAAATAAAAGTAAAAGAGAGGTGAGTATAAGGAAGCCTGAATTAATAAGGAGGAAATTACTAAGTAAGAAGAAGATAAGAAGAAGTATGTGTTTCTCTTTTGATATTCTTTTTGCTGTTTGTTCATACAAATATATTTGAGAAGTGAAGAGAGTTAAACCGAGCTGCATCTTCAACTGCCTTTGTAAATGTTGTCTTGGGGTCGTCTAAAGCTAAAAAATTTTCTCTTTCACACATTCTGCTCCCAATCAGCCATCCGGTATGTGCTTCTTTAACTGCAAGTGTACGTACACCTGAAAGAACCCCAATACTTCCTTGCTCCTGTTCCTGCTGTTGCTGCTGTTGCTCCTGCTGCTGCTGCTCCTGCTGCTGCTGCTCCTGCTGCTGCTGCTCCTGCTGCTGCTGCTCCTGCTCCTGCTGCTCCTGCTGCTGCTGCTCCTGCTGCTCTTCTTCTGCTGCTGCACGTTTTGTGCTGCTGCCTGTCAATTCTGCCGCTGCTGGAGAGCTACCTTCGCTGATTCTTGAGGTGTATGTACACCTCAAAGGGAAAGGAGGGCCTTCTGCTAATCCAAGGTATTTGCAGTGCATATGACTGACGCGCTGCACTTCTCGTTCAGACAAACAAAACCCTTTAAAATATGCAGGAGAAGGAGAAGAAGGAGGACAAGGTCGGTTGGAGCTGAAAGATAAACAACAATTAAATAAATGCATTAAAAATAAACAAATAAATAATAGATATAATATATTATATATGTGAATAATGACATGCAACAAAAACACCGAAACCAGAAACGAAAAAAGGAAATGAGGAAACGAAAAAGGCCCAGGGAGCTCCTAAAACCCTAAACACTAAACCCTAAACCCTAAACCCTAAACCCTAAACCCTAAACCCTAAACCCTAAACCCTAAACCCTTCTGTAGTGATGCAAAACTCTACATGAGATCTGCATGCAAGGCGAATAACAAAAAACAAAACAGAGCAAAACAAACAAGCAGAAGAAAACGGCATCAGCAGTTACAGCAACAGCAGCAGCAGCAACAGCAGCAGCAGCAGCAGCAGCAGATACATGCGAATGGCTCTGTTCGCCTGATTGAAATAAACGAAGCGATATGAGTCTTCTTGTCGAATTGTCTTCTTAAACTCAGCAGAAAGAGAGCCGTTTAATTCTCTGAGTCCGCAGGGGCCCTCCACTGCTGCATTTCGTATGGAATGAAGAAACTGAGGTGTATATACACCGCAGCAAAGCAGACGAACAAACGCACAAACAAACAAAGCAGCAAAATAAATTATAAACGAAATGAAAACGATAAGAAGAAGAAAAATGAAATCAAAACGCAAATTTCATAGACGGTAAATAAACAGGAACTGCAGCTGTATGCATGCAGCAGCAGCAAAACAAAGAGAAACGAGCAGCAGCAGCAGCAACAAGAGGAGAAAAAAGACAACAATAACAGCAGCAGTAGCAGAAAGAGAAAAATGCAACAGCAGCAAGATAAAGAGCAGATGCAGCAGCAGCAGCAAGAGAAAGAGCAGATGCAGCAGCAGCAGCAAGAGAAAAGAGCAGCACCAGCATATTCCATACACTATACAAATAAGTCTATATATATATATATATATTATATATATATATTATATAATATAATATAGTGTACGCATAATATAATACTGCCTGCCTGATCACTCATTTCTTTCGTTTGTGAAGCCCAAACAAACAAACACAAACAAACAAACAGACAAACAAAATATAAAAAAGATAGAAAGCCCCAAGAAAACCAGCAAAAGATGCATCCATGCATGCATGCATGCATGCATGCATGCATGCATGCATGCATGCGTGCGACAGCCATATAATCGTTTTTAGGGTTTAGGGTTTAGGGTTTAGGGTTCTGACTTGAACATCTGCAATCCTGGGGTCTTTATCATTTAAAATTAAAACCAGCAGCAGCTGCTGATGAATAATCGCTAAGAGAGCGCCTGTAGAGTCATCTTCGAAGTGAACGAGGGGGAGAAAAGCAAACTGTCTGCGAAGAAAAAGAAATAAATAAACGAAATAAATAAAGAAATATAACAACAAATATATACGCGGTGTACGTACACCTCAAAAATATAAATGATGAAGGCGTGAGGAAACGAAAAAAGAAAATAAATAAAAGAGAAAATAAACAAATTGAAAACAAGATAAAGAAGCAAGAAATGCAAATAAAAACAAATAAATAACAGAGAAGAAGATATTAAGTTGTTGCTGCAGCACCAGTAAACACACAAAGAATAAGAATAAGAATAAGAATAAGAATAAGAATAAGAAGAACAACAACAACAAGAAACAGAAGAACAAGAGGCAGACGAAGAAGAAGTAGTAGTAGAAGATAAAGAAGACGAGGAGAAGAACAACAACAAGAACAACAAGAAAAAGAAGAAAAAGAAGAATAACAAAAAGAAGAAGACGAAAAAAGAAGAGACAAACCCGAGGGGCCCGAAGATGAATTCATTTTGTTTATCTTTCTCTGAAATCGCCCGGCCAAACGAAGAACTGCCGCCTCCAGGCTAAACAAAATTAAAACAAAAACAAAAAAGAAAAGAGAAAAGAAGAAGCAAACAAAGCAATGAAAACACAAAGAGATATATATCGAGAAACAGACAAACAATAAACACCACTCAACATCGTTTGCTGACGAGAGAGAAAAAGAGATTCGTTTACCTGCAGCAGCAGCAGCAGCAGTAGCAGCAGCAGCAAGCCAACAGTAGCAGCAGCAGCAGCAAGGCAGCAGCACCAAAACAGCAGCAGCAAGACATCAGCAAACCAGCAGCAGCTGCTGCTGCAGCGCAGCTGCAAAACAGCAGCAAAGCAGCAGCAGCAAAGCAGTAGCAGCAAAGCAGCAGCAGCAAAGCAGCAGCAGCAAAGCAGCAGCAGCAGCAGGAGTGAATGAGATCTCACCCTCGCTGCAGCAGTTGGGGGTCTACCGAAGGGCGGCATCTGCAGCTTCCGATTGTCTGCTGCAGCAGCACCTTCAGCAGCAACAAGATAATTGTACAGCAGCAGCAAAGTATCTGCCTTTAATGATAAACCCACAGAAGCAGAGGCATCACTGCTGCATGCAGCAGATAAAGGAGTCGGCATTCTAAACAAACAAACAAACAAACAAACAAACAAAACAAACAAAAGAAAGAGAATAACAGATGTATATAAAAAACAATAAATAAACATAAACAAACAAATTAACAAAATGATGATACGCAAATACAAATAAAAAGAAACAAAAACAAATAAATAAATAAATAGAGGCAAACAAACAAAGATAAATAAACACAGACAAACAAAACTAAGCAAATAAAAATAAACAAACAAAAAAATGCATACAGAACAAACAAAAACAAACAAAAACAAACAAATGCATGCAAATGCATGCAAAAAAATAATTTAAAGACACAATCATCAAAACCCTGAACAATATACACATATTTATACAAATAAATAAATAGATAGACAGATAGATATATGTACATAATATATATAATAAATATATATAATATATATTTTATATATATTATATATATTATATATATATATTATATCTTAACAACGCACGAGGAGAAGACGAGGCAGCCGTTTAACAATAAAAAAGAATGAAGAATCGCAGGATATATCTGCTGCAGTAAAGACGACAAAGAAAACACCGAAAGATATGCAAGCCGATCGACTGGTGCGAACTGATAGCCGGCTATTGCTGCAGCAGCAACACAAACAAACAGCGGCAGCAGCAGCAGCAACAGCAACAGCAGCAGAAATGAACAAATGGCAGCAGCAGCAAAAGCAGCAGCAAAAGCAGCAGCAGAAAAACAAAATAATCGAAATTTACAAATAGCAAACGAAAAACAAACAAACAGAAGCAGCAGCAACAGCAGCAGCAACAGCAGCAGCAGCAGCAACAGCAACAAGCATTAAGGAACAAGAAAAAAACAGCAAAAATGAAACAAAGCAATTGCTGCAGCAGCAGCAACACAAACAACCAGCAGTAGGAGCAGCAGCAAAAAGAGAAAAACAAAACGACTATGAAAACAAAACGAACAGCAACTGCAGCAGCACAAGCAGCAGCAGCAGCAGCAACCCAAACAAGCAAACAAGCAGCAGCAGGAGCAGCAGCATCATCAGGAGCAGCAGCTTTACGTATCTCTTTCCTAATACTTTATTAATCTGAGGTGTATGTACAGCTGAACGCACCGTGAAAGAGAGACAACTTCTTGCAATCAACTGTCTCTAAAAAGGCTTCAGTATAATCCATGAGGAGCTGTCGCAAATATATTTTTGTTTGTTTTTTAATAAAAACATCAAAGCCTCCGTGCAGCAGTCGGAAGAAAGAGTAAAAAGAAGACAGCACCTGACAAATATGCAGAATAATAAATCAAACAAATAAACAAGACGAGACAATTAAATAAAAAAAGCACAAAAAAATATAATTAAATATTAAATATTAATTAATTTAACAACAAAACCCGCAATATAATAATAATAATAATAACAGTAGTAATATTTTCTTTTTAATATATTTATATATTTATTCTTGTAATAATATATAAACAGATTTTTATTTAATAGAGCAAAACAACAACGCATGCAGACAGCACAACACCATACAAAAAGAAGACAACAGAGGCGCTGAGCATTTGTTTTATATTATTATTATTTTATTATTTTACTATTTATTATTTATTATTGTTATATTAATCGTATATCTGACGAGTAGTAGAAGGCTGTTGCTGTTGTTTGTTTGTTTGTTTGTTTGTATTGTTGGTGCAATTCAGGTGTACGTACACCTAACAGTATTTCTTCTTGTGTATCTTCATCAATGCGCATTGAGCTGCTGTTTTGATTGCTTCCTTCGGCTGTTGAAAAGCAAGAAAGAGCATTTGTAGCAAACGTCTGCAACGCATAACAACACAAGACTTATTATTCTTTTATGCATCGGCATCTGCATCTGCATGCATGCATATGCATGCATTAGTTGTACGCATGCATGCATGCATGGAAGCCTGAATGCATATGCATGCATATGTACGCATGAATGCATATTCATGCATGCATACATGCACACATATATGAATGCATGCATGCATGCATGGAGCGGGGATGTAGGCATGCATGCGCATGCATGCATGCATGCATGCATATCCGCGGGAGAAAAGACTTTGAAAAGACGCACCATAGACAGCCAGTAGTTTTCTTCGACTTCTTTGAGAACAATGATATATTTCTCTGTGCAAATTGAACGCAAGGGAGCCTCTCCAGGAGAGAAGGGCCTGAGGAGTGCAGCATTGCAGTGTACGTACACCTCAAATACGTGTATACAAACGCACAGAGGAGTCCAACTTTGGCGTGCATAATAAATGAAATTAGCAATGATTAAAACGATATTAATATAGTATATAATATGCAGTATAGAATATATATAATGCAGAATGCTTATACACGAATAGTGCAGTAGACTCACTTGATAAACATCAACAAACCCTCAAGAAGACCCGCCTGGCAGCGTCTTTCTTCTGGTTCTCTATCTGGAGGATAGCTGAATATAACTTTTGCTTCTTGCTCTCTTTCCTCCCTAGACAATCCATCACCAGGGGCTTCCTCTTCTTCATCATCGTTGGGCTGATTTGAATCTGAAGAAGAGGCTTCCAGCTCCTCTTGAGTTGTGTAATTATCTGGAAGAAGAGTTGGGTTAAAAAGCAAAATGCTGAGAATACCAGAAGAGGTAGTAGAGTCAGAAGAAGCAGCGCCCGTCTGCTTCCCCGTTGGAGATACGGCTGCAGCCGATTCAGTTTCGTTCTGCTTTCTCGCAGAAGAGAAGAACATTGCAATAATGACTCAAATTCAAGGTCAAAAACCCACAAGGAGAAACAAATGTCAAAAAGATAATCCACACACGCGTCAATTCATGAAACGATCAGTACTTACTTCTGAGAAGGGGGGGAAACAGAAAAACAAGTTAAAGCTCCAATGCCCTCTTTTTTTCATCAACCCCTATGGATTACACAAATGAAAGTTAAAAAGAAAACAACAAGAAAAACAAGCCATGATTTAATGACATTTGTGATTTGAATGCCGCAAACAGAGAAGGTCCGAGGTGAGCTGCGGTGTACAGACAGCTCCGGTTCAAACAACCAACTCAGCATCACCATGAGTGGAAACCTGTAATTAAAATAGGGGAAACAAAGGCCATTTATTGCATAATTAATTGTTTTTCTTTTTTCTTTCTAATGAATCAAATGGATTTCCCAGAATACCAACTCCCTCCTGCATATTCATGTCTTGCTCCTGTACATCAGCCGCCTCCGCACCGCCTACTGCTCAGTTTGCATGTGCACTGAAACGAAGGAGGAAAATATATTTATTTCATCATTGGCTTCTTTCTTTGAGTTTCTTTTCTTGTTTTATTACTCCCTAGATGAATTTTCTGTTGTTTATAGGAAATCCTTTTTCAGTCTTCGCCGCAAAACTAACGACCGGCTGCCATGCTGGCGGGTAGCAGTGCCTTTACTTCGCCTCTGTTATTCAGAAACTTAATTGAAATTCTTTCTTTTCTTCTTCTCTACTTCTCTCAGTTTCTTAGCGCCCGATAAAGCCTCTTGCGCTGTATATACACCGCGTTTGCTGCGTTGATTGTTAATGGTGTTTCTTCTTGTGCTTTGCTTCCCTTCCACTTCTCTACAAGCGTCGCAGTTTGAATCTCTTGAGTTCCTTCTCTCCTTTTCCCGGTTGCTTTGAGCGGGCTACGTCACCAGTTTAATATGCAGAAGAACAGCATCAGCAGCAGCAGCAACAGCAGAAGAAGCAGAGGCAGCAGGAGGAGTAGCAACAGCAGCAGGGGTTCTTTTCTTCTCTTTTTTTCTTTCTTTTTGTTGCAGATTAGGAAAAGTAATGAAAGAAGATGGCTATGAACACAGAGTTTATGCTGAGTCCCTGGCCTTCATCTCCTTTATGGGCTGTCTTTCGTCATACAAAAATTCGTATACTAGCTTCACCTGAGCCTTCTTTATTAGAGTTATGTTTCTTTTCTTGTGTTTCTTCTCTTTTCATCTCACCTGTGCAGCTTCTGCTGTCTATACACCCCACAACAAGCACAGATATCCATCCAGAAGCAGCAGCAGCAGCAGCAGCAGCAGTAGTAGTTGAGCAGCAGCAACAGCAGCAGCAACAGCAGCAGGAGGCGGATCAGGGTTTTATGCTGCTGCAGCTGTACAACAGGTTTCTTATTAACTTAAAGACATTAATTATCTTTTCATTTCTTCTTCGTCTCCTTCAATTTTCTACTCGAAGAATATATTGCTATCGCCTCTATGAAGTATTATGTGATATGCTGCGACGCTGCATGCAGCAGCAACCGGGTAAGCTGTTTATATTTACTTCTTTTTTATTTGTTTTAGTCTTGTTAGTGCTGCTCTTGCTTTTTATTTATTTTCTTCTTCTTTTATTATTCTTTTATTGATGCTCATTACTTTTTGTTGTGTTTTTTTTGTTTTTGTTTGTTTTTGTTTATTGCTGTTTTTCTTTGTTTATTCTGATTCTTTTTTATTATTCTTTTTGCTGTTGCTGCTGTTATTATATTTGTTTCTTTTATTGTTTTGTTTTATCTTCTCTTTATTTCTTTAACTGCTATTTGTTGTTGCTGCTGCTGCTCTTTGCTCTTCATATTGCTGCTGTCTTGTTTATATTATTGTTTTTCATCCTTACTTGCTCTTTTGTTATTGCTTTTATTGTTTTTATTTTTATTATTTTAATTATTTTTATATATCTTCTTTTTCTTTTGTTTGTTTCGTTGCATATGTTCGTCCTTGCTTGCTTTTTCTTGTTTTGTTTGTCTCTGCATGTTTTCTTTTTTGCTGTATATGCTGCTGCTCTGTTTTATTGCTGTCTCTTCGTTCATCTGCTTGCTGCTGCTGCTGCTGATGCTGCTGCTTTTTCTTGCTTTGCATGCGGCACTCTACTACTGTCTCCGCCTTGCAGCACGCATTGCACAGCAGCAGCAGCAACAGCAGCAGCAACAGCAGCAGCAACAGCAGCAGCAGCAACAGCAGCAGAGATAAAATCTGTTTCTATCTTGCACCTAGCAACTGCCTGTTGGGCCTGCCATCTGCGGTGTACATAAACCGCAAGACCCTAAACCCTAAACCCTAAACCCTTGGGCGTTTCTTTTCAGATATTTCCCTCGAGTTGAATGAAGAAGAAAAAGACAAAGAAGAAAATAAAGAGATAAATAACAAACAACAGCAACAACAATCAAAAGACGCATGTCAAACACCCCAGAACTGCACAGCAGCAGCAGCACCAACAACAACATTAACACCTGCTGCTGCTGCTGCTGCTGCTGCTGCTGCTGCTGAAGCTACTGTCCCAGATGGGGACACAGCAGCAGCAGCAGGAGCAGTAGCAGCAGCATCATCAGCAGCAACAGCAGCACCAGCAGCAGCATCAGCAGGAGCACCAGAAGCAGCAGCACCAGCAGAATCAGCAGAACCTTCATCAGCATCATCAGCAGCAGCAGCAGCAACAGCAGCAGCAGCAGCATCAGCAGCAACAGTTGAAGCGAAGTTGAGATTGAGAATGAAGAGTAAAGCATCTCCTCCAGAAGGGGGAAGCAGAAGAAAAATAATTAAAATGCTGGCGGTGCTTGGTTCAGGTATATCATGCTGCGGTGTATGTGCAGCTCTACTTTAATTATTTGTTTGATTTGTTTGCGGTGTATAGGCTGCTTTATTTGTTTGTTTTGCAGTGTATCCGCAGCTGTACATTTTAATTTGCAGTGTATAGGCATCTCTACCTCTTTATTTGCGGTGTATTTACAGTAGAAGAGATTTTGTTTTTTCTTGATGTGTACCTGCACCTCCTCTATATATAATATATATATATATATATATATATATATATTATATAATATA